TTTGATTTTCTAACTCCAGCTCTCTGCACATTTCATTATAGTATCTTGCTTTGTCGTCCCGGGCTGCCTTTTGAAATTTTCTGTTCAGCTCTTTGATTTCTTGGTTTCTTCCTTGCACTCTAATGTAATACTCAAAGTCTCATCTGACATCCATCTTGGTCTTTTCTTCTTTTTCAGCCTTTGTAATGATCTTTTGTATTCTTCATGGACGATTTTCTTGATATCCTCCCAGAGTTCATTTGGCCTATGCTCATTGGTGCTCAAGGCCTTAAACCTGTTCCTGAGATGGTTTTGAAATTCGAGTGGGATAGAGTTAAGATCAAATTTTGGTTCCCATGGACTTTATTTCATTTTCCTCAACTTCAGCTTGAACTTGCATATGAGTACTTGGTGGTCTGTCCCACAATCAGCACCCAGCCTGGTTTTTGTTGGATTTTATGAATAAGAATGTGCTTGCTGGAAATGAGGAGGACTTGAAGTACTTGCTGTAGAAGGTCAAGGACTGTAGTCTTCAATATGGATTGCATCTCAACATTAACAAAAAGATTCTCAGGCCAATTGGCAGCATCATGATAGGATGGTTAAGAGACTGAGGTTGTTAACAACTTCATCTTGGCTTGACTAGGTCCAAAATCAACTCTTGGCACCAGCAGTCAGGAAATGAAAAGATGAGTTGTTTTGGGAAAGTCTGATGTTAAGGACCTCACCGGAGTGCTGAAGGGCAATGATGTCAATCTACAAACCAAGGTGCACCTGATCCAGTCCATGATCTTCTCAATTACTTGCTATGCTACATTTAAGTTGTGGTCCTAAAGAAGAGTATTGAACATAACATAGACTGCCAAGAGAACAAAAAAGCTTGTCCTGGAAAGGGTGAAACCAGATTGCTATTTGCAGGCAAGGACGTTGAAACTCCTTTTCACATATTTTGGACATGTTGCCATGAGGGACCAGTCCTTGGAGAAGGACATTATGCTTGGAAGGGTAGACGGTCAGCCCAAGTGAGGAAGACTCTGAATGAGATGGATCAACATAGTGACTGTGGTAATGGCGGCAGGTTTATCAGAGACAATGAGACTGGCTTATAATAGGGAAGGGTTCCCAGCTCTTGTTCATAGGGTCGCCATGAGTCTTAGTTGACTTGACAGCACATATAACAATGTTAGTATGTTATCATTAACAAAGGAATCCTGATTCTTTCATGACAGGGGGTTTCATCTCAAAGGTCTCTGGCTGTTTTGGGAAAACTATTTTGACAGACTTTAATTATTTTCCTAAAAGGTTGTCTTTTATAATAGCAAAACATGATGCTTCAAGACATTCAAGCTCTCTCTGAAATATTTGTGGTTTTCTGCATAGGGTTATGAATTGTAGCTGCAGGAATCTTTGTCATTGTGTATGACGCCTCTGATTTCCTGACCTCCTTGGCTGTAATTACAGTGATAGTTTTGAGCTTCCTTTTAGTTGAACTCAGTTAAGTGATAATCCAGTATGGGCTGGCTGAACCAGAACTCTTGAAGAATCATAAGGCAAATGGGAACACAAGAAAAGAGAGGTGTGCGACAATTTTTAAAGACTCAACTCCAACACTTGGCAATAACTATATAACTGAACCTGTTATCTATGGCCTTGGGTCGTTTATGCATCTTGAGTATTGTTTTTCAATTCTAATAAAACTCTGGTTCTGAAAGGAAATAATAAAAACCAAAGGGAACTCTGGTGGCCTGTTGTTGTTGTCGTCATGTGCCATCAAGTTGCTTGCAAGTCATAATGATCCTATGTACAATAGATCTGAACCCTGTTCAACCTTATTGTCTCTGACACACCTATCCCTATTACCCTAGTCACTGAATCAATCCATCTCATCCAGGGTCTTCCTCTCTTGCGCTGTTCCTCCACCCTCCTAAGCATGATGTCCCTCTCCAAGGACTGGTCCCTCCTTGCAACTTGTCCAAAGTTAGAGAATAAAACCATCCTGTTCCTTGGAGGCAAAGATTCTGAAGCCTAGTGGTTAAAAAAATAATAAAATAAAATAAAAGTAAAAATTGAGCTGCATTCCCAAAGTCAGGAGGTTGGAACCCACCAACTGCTTCGCAAGAAGGATGGTCAACTCCTATGGGATTTACCACCTCTGAAAATCTATGGGTCAGTTCTAATGGCACACTACAACATGCCCAAAATGTGAGAAATCATCCATTTCTCTAAGGAGCATTCTAAGCTGTACTTTCTCCAAGATACAACTATACTTTAGTATCAAAATAGGGCCCAAGTTCAAAGTGTGTTAAGTGCCAAACTCGAGGTGCTCTGACTGAAGAGCTTAGCGCTGTTTGGTCTACACCCCTTGGAAAAATGCGGCGAGCAGCTCTGTCATGTCAAGTTTTGGTGAAGTCAGTGCTCTCCCACCCCCTCTCGGGACGATCTCCTACTGCTCGATCACAAATGGAAAAAATCACCTTGTACACTTTACGTTTATTTGTAGTGTGTGTCCACATTTGCAGGGATAGAGGCCAAAAACAGCTGAGAGGGCGGGGGTGAGAGGGTATCTTTAGAAAGAATTTAGCCTACATTTGACACAGGACGCCCGGTAACCGGCTGGTCCCGCGCATTCGCGCAGCGCAGTCCCTACCAGTCTCTGTCTGGCACTTGTGGTCAGAGTTGCCCGCGCCAGCGCAGCCTCCACCTGCCACAAACCCCAGGGCCCTGCCTGTAAAACCATAAACTCTCCAACACCTCCCTCTGCTGGCTCGTGGAGAAGTCACACGGACCACACACGTCAGTTCCGGATGCTACGGAAGTGAAGCTTCCTCTTCCGGGTTGAGCGTCTGTGAGCCCGCACGTGGTTGCATTTCCGGGCTGGATAAGTTGAGCGGCTGTCTCCGCGCTGGTGAGTTGAACCGAAGCCATGGAGAGCCGCAGCGTGGAGGAGCTTCTTGCAAAGGCAGAGCAGGAAGAGGCAGAAAAGTTTCAGCGCATCACGGTGCATAAAGAACTGGAGCTGGAGTTCGATTTAGGCAATTTGTTGGCTTCCGACCGGAACCCCCCTACAGGACTTCGGTGCGCCGGACCCGCGCTGGAGGCCGAGCTGCAGAAGCTGGCGCGGGACAATACGCAGCTCCTCATCAACCAGCTGTGGCAGCTGCCCACGGAGCGCGTGGAGGAGGCGGTCGTGGCCCAGCTGCCGGAGCCTGCCACCCGCCTGCCGCGCGAGAAACCGGTGCCCCGGCCGCGGCCGCTTACGCGCTGGCAGCAGTTCGCGCGCCTCAAAGGCATCCGGCCCAAGAAGAAGACCAATCTGGTGTGGGATGAGGTGAGCGGTCAGTGGCGCCGCCGGTGGGGCTACCAGCGTGCCCGCGACGACACCAAGGAGTGGCTGATCGAGGTCCCCGTCAGCGCCGACCCCATGGAGGACCAGTTCGCCAAGCGGGTTCAGGCTAAGAAGGAGCGGGTGGCCAAAAACGAGCTGAACCGGCTGCGTAACCTGGCCCGTGCACACAAGCTGCAGCTGCCCAGTGCGGCCGGCATGCACCCCACTGGACATCAGAGCAAGGAGGAGCTGGGTCGCGCCATGGAGGTGGCCAAAGTTTCCACCGCTTCCGTGGGACGTTTCCAGGAGCGCCTGCCCAAGGAGAAGGCTCCTCGGGGTTCCGGCAAGAAGAGGAAGTTTCAGCCTGTCTTTGGGGACTTTGCAGCCGAGAAAACGAGCCAGTTGGAGCTGCTGCGAGTCATGAACAGCAGAAAGCCTCAGCTGGACGTGACGAGGGCCACTAATAAGCAGATGAGGGAGGAGGACCAGGAGGAGGCCGCCAAGAGGAGAAAAATGAGCCAAAGGGGCAAGAGAAAGGGGGGGCGGCAAGGACCTGGGGGCAAGAGGAAAGGAGGTCCTCCCAGCCAGGGAGGAAAGAGAAAAGGGGGCCTAGGAGGCAAGATGAATTCCGGGCCACCTGGTTTGAGTGGCAAGAGGAAAGGAGGGCAGCGCCAGGGAGGAAAGAGGCGGAATTAATAATTTCACCCTCGGATTTGAGCTGCTCACCAAGAACTGTATGCTGCACGTGAGGTTCAACTTCTCCGGTAGCAGCTGCCCTTCCCTCCCCGAACTTGGAGGTCGAAGGGAAGAATTGGACTCCACAAGTTTGTGGTTTTCTTAAAGGGGAAGGAATTTAAGTGGGAATGAGTCTAAAACAGCCTTGCTTTCTCTATTTAACTTTGGTCTTGACCGCAGAATTGTTGGTTACCTATCAGAGTTATCATTGACTGATGTAATTTTTTCATTTCTGTTACAAGCTTGTGTATTCATCAGAACAGAAAAAAAATAACAAACGTTTTCTAAACCAGACTTTCACTATTGTATGTAAAGATTATTTCATATAACTGTCTCTGGTTGTAGCCAGTGTTGATTTTAACTTTTTTCCTTGTAGTAGAAATCAAATGAATCCTGTGGACCATACCAGGTATGATGTCTTTTTACTTTAGACATAAAGCAGTCAGAGAGACAACTGCAGAAAACTATTGTTTGTTGTCAGATATATTGAAGGTATAACTGATGTTTGAAAAATCTGTTCTTTGTGACACTTTGGAAATACTGGTTTGCTAATGATAACGTCCTTGCTAAATAACCCTCATTAATCCAGAAAATATTTCCAATCTTTATGGATGTTTATCTTCCCAGTTTGGTTTAATACTAAATAGAGAAACATGTATTAGTAGAAAACTTTCTTTAGTTCTGTGAAAGTGGCTTGAGCTAACTTGATTAGATTAGTAGGGTCATTGGGTGATAAGTTGACGGGAAAACAGAGGTTGCATTTTCAAGCCCACCTGGAGGCACCTCGAAAGGCCTGGTTAACTAACTTCTGAAGTCAACCAGTGCAAACCCTGTTCGAAGCAAGTCTCCATGAGACGGAATTGACTTTGTGGCAACCTTTGGAGGTGGTAGTGTGCTTGGGAGGTTAAATGTTTTATAGCTGTTTTGGGACACATTCCTGTCATAGGTGTCTGTCCCTAATGATCTAAAAAGCTTTAAGCCTTTTACTCCAGTAGAGCAGAGAGCACCCCTGCTCTTTTTGGTTGACAGTTAATAAGAAATTTTTTCTATTTTCAATGCTGTTTCTTAGAAAAGTATTTTTAGAAGTGTCCATGAAAAAGTCAGATTTCATTGCTGTATAGTGAAGAGATTAAGATTGTTAACAGTTTTTGTTTGCTTGGCTCCACGGTCAACACTCTTGGCACCAGCAGCCAGGAAATTAAAAGATTTATTGCATTGGGACAGTCTGCTGTAAGAGACCCCTCCATAGTACTGAAGAGCAATGATGTCAGTCTGGAAACTAAGGTGCACCTGACACAGGCCATGGTCTTTGTAATCACTTGCTATGCGTCAGAAAGCTGGACAGTGACTAGGGAGGATAGAAGGAGAATTGATGTCTTTAAGCTGTGGTGCTGGAAAAAGTATTAAATATACCATAGATGGCTACTAGAACGAACAGGTTCATCCTAGAGAAGGTTAAACTAGGCTGTTCCTTGGAGGCATGGATTCTGAAGTTTCATCTGACATACTTTGGACTTGTTGCAAGGAGGGACCAATCCTCGGAGAGGGACATCTTCCTTGGGATTGTGGAGGGATAGTGCAGGAGAGAAAGACCCTCAGTGAGATGGATTGATTCAGTGGGGCGTCAAAGACAGATTGGCACAGAATAGTGCAGGGTTTAGGGCTGTTGTACATAGGGTCGCTATCAATCACAGGCGACTCGATGGCACTTAACAACAGCACAGGTATATGAGTAGTGGTGGTATAGTTGTGCAGCTTCTCCAGACATTGTGTGTCCCTGAGAGAAGAATGGGCTTTCACTTCCCGTTAAGAGTTACAGCTTTGGGAACTTGATTGAGGGTCATTATGCGTTTTGTTTCTTGAGTATAGACTTTCCCATGTTCACATGTTTTCTGATTGTATTAAAGCTAGATTTTAAAAAATTTACTTTTTCTCTTGAAAAATGATAAATACAATAATAGGCATCGGAGAACTCTAATAAGTAGGAGGTTGTATGGTCAGCCCAGAGGCTATTGGTTGAAATCCACCAACTGCTCCACAGAAGAAAGATGGGCAGTTGCCTCCCATGGGATGTATTAGGTGCTACTGAGTTGAAACAGACTCAGTTGAGCCTTCAGCACAAAGGAGGTCTGATGGCCTAGTGGTAAGAAGCTGCATTGCAATCCCAAAGGTATGTGCTTCCAGTCCATCCGCTTCTCAGAAGGATGGGCAGGCTCCTGTGTGATTTTACTGCTTCTGAAAACTTATTGGAGGGTCAGCTATAGATGAGTGGGTTCTGACTTCATGGTACTCAATAACAAATTATGCAGATGATTTTTCTCCCCTGTAGCAGTTAGAAGATTCGAACCTTTGGGGTATAACACAACTCCTTACGACTAGGCAACCAGAGCTCCCTCACAGATGATGTACAGCTTCTGTAAGCCTGGAGGGTCAGCTTTGTCTCAAGGTCAGTGAGTTCAGCTCTTTCATTGTTGTTTGGTATCAAGTTGAAATGATCTGTTCATAGTAACCCTTTGAACAACAGATCTTACCCTGTCCTATCCTGTTTTATCCTCAACAATTTGACACACTCGAGCCCATAGCTGCTGTCATTGTCGGTTCATCTGGTTGAAGATCAGCCCTTCCATTGCTGTCCCTCCGCCTTTCAAAGCACAGTCCTCCAAGGAATAGTCCTAGCAGCATGCCTAAAATAATGTGAGATGAAGCTTCACCATTCTTTGCTCCAAGGAACACTCTGGCTGCATCTTGTCCAAGACCTACCTACTACTTGTTCTGACAGTCCATGGGATATGCAGTGCTCTTCTCCAGTATTACAACAAAGGCATCACTTTTTCTTCTGTTACTGTTATTCATTGTCCACCTGTCAGCTTAATTTTCAGCCCAGTGAAAAATAGAGGAACATGGATATAGTTTCATTAAGATCAAGTTAATCCAGCCACTTAATGGTACCATCAACAATTTCATCAAAAGCCAAACGGTGCTTATGAGACACTTTACTAAAGGGTAGGGCTTTTTCAGGTTTGGATTTTGTGCTTTCCTTATTTAGCTGTGGGATTTTAACACTGCCCATTTAGGTTTCTTGGACTTTTTAAAAGAAGTTAGCAATTTATGAAAATAGAGTTTTTTAACTTTTTTTTTTTAACATTCCTAAGAGTTGTTTTCTGCATGGCACCCAAAGTTGGGTGGTAAGACTTTGCCCCTGAATCAAATGTAGGGGGGTATTTTGGTTTCTGTTTTTTACTTTAAACATTATTTAATTAGGTCTTATAGACTCCATTGGTGAGGGAGAATAGAAGAACACAGATAGCTTTTGAGCTGCTCTGATTTTGGGCAAAACTTCCAAGTCCACAGCTTTCATCAACATTGTGCTGCTCTGAAATCTTCTCTGTGTCGGAGATCTCACCCTCCTGGTGGCGGCATTTCCACCGCTGCTTTTCACACACTGATGTCAATTTTAGTGGAGGTGGCAATGAAGAGTTTCTGATGTGTTCTCCACAGAGGAACTTGATCATTGAGGGTCAGAGGCCCTGTCACAGGGAGCAAACCACTATCCAGCAGCTTCTGGAAAATCGCTCTGCACCTGTGGTAAGAGACTGAACTAGCACACAGCCTCCTCACATGCTCACTCTAGGGGATTTTTTGCTGAGGCTTCCCAGCTTCAGAGGCACGACATCAGTAGGGTAGGTAATACCTAGGCGTTTTCACCACTCTGGTACCACCATTCTTAACCACCAACAACTGCTTTGTGACAGTAGCAAGAACCTTATCATCCTTTTCAACCCTGGACTTAGTGGCTGAGTTCTTCCTGTTGTGTATGGCCTTCCTAGGATACCTGGCTAATTGGTAATACTGCCGATTCCCCAGACTAGGACAGGGTTGGGGCTCCAGGGGGGCTTCCTCATCTTGGGCATTTTGCTCTTGCCTTTGGGCTTGGCATTTTTAACTTTGCCACTAGCATCTGCCTTCTTGGCCTCAGGCTTCTCCTTGGTGTCTGTCTGTTTTACCAACCATCTTGCAAAATGGGATAAAGAACCAATAAGTCTAATGTAGTTTTAACTCCACGTGGGAACATAGTCTTAAGCTACGGGCCCTTGACCTTAGTAGACCAAGTGGAGTGACTCGGCTCAGTGGGCGGGTGGAGGAGGGCGGTGGGGCCGGCGATTGGCCCACAGAGGGGGTGTAGAGCGAGGGGCGTGGCTTCTGGGCTGAGCTTGTGCAGTCATGGCTGTCGGCAGATCTCGGATCACGCACTTGCTGAAGCTACTGCAGAGCGCAGCGTGAGTGCGGGCAATGGGGGAAAGGGGACCTCATCATGTCTTCCACAGGACCCCCAAGTGTCAGAGGGCAGGGGACCCCACCGCACCTTCTGCAGGTCCCCTGAGTGTTAGAGGAGACCCCCATCATACCTTCTGCAGGACCTTTGAGTGTCACAGCAAGGGGACGCCACTGCACCTTTCAAAGGACTTCTGAGTGTTGGAGGGCAGGGGACCCATCATGTTTTCTACAGGACCCCCTAGTGTCAGAGGGAGGAACCTCACTGTCCCTTTCATAGTAGCCCTGAGTGTTAGAGAACCCCCACCACGCCTTCTGCAGGATCCCAGAGGGTCGGGGACCCCACCCCCCCCCACCCAACTACTCCTTCCGCAGGACTCCTGAGTGTGGACATTTTTCTGTTACCTTTGAGGGAGATCCCACAGTGCACAGCACCAAGAGGCATGTTGCTTAGTCCTCTTAAGAAAATTCATTTATTCAGTCAGTCATCATCCCTCCTATTTTATTGTATATTACATGCTGGAAACTTTTGAGTGCTGGATATGCAATGATACAAGGTTTTGGAATCCTTCAAAGTCTGGAGAAACAGATGATAGGCCTACTGTGAAACTACAGAGCACAGGCACAAGCTTATAAACGGGAAAGATGAACATGAGGAATGACGAGAGTTACACTCCCAGGCCAGTTCAGGAGGTACATATACATGTTATGACCTATCTAATACCCCCTCAGGAAATGCTTGGGAGCTACTGCCTGGTGAGTACTTGGAAAGTGTCCAAGTGTAAGCCTTCTTAGGTAGGCCTAAGCATGGAAAAGTTTGAGTTCCCAATTCAGGTAAATAAGGGAACAAAACTAAAGAGAATTGGCAATAGAATGAAAAATGACATCTGAGTCCACTAGATGGAAACAAACTTCTAGTTCCAGGATCTAAAAGTAGTTCAGGTGTGGACATACCTAAGGTGTGGAACAGATGAGAATCAAAAAATAAACATGAGTGGGTACCTAGCAGCTGGTGGATTCAAACCACATGCCTTTGGGATTGCAGCACAGCTTCTTGCCAGTAGGCCACCAGAGCTCCCTCTTATTCAGCATTTCTGAGTTGCCTATTGTTACTTACAGTCACTATTGATCCATCTTGTTCAGGGTCTCCTCTGATCCTCTGCCTTTCTCAGGATAATGTCTTTCACCAAGAACTAGCTCCTCCTGAGAACATGCCCAAGGCATGTGAGACCATCCATGCCTCTCAGGAGCACTCTTGTCTGCACGACCTCCCAGACAGATCTTTGTTCTTTTGGCTGTCCGTGGTATACTCAGTACTCTTCTCCCACCACAGTTCGAAGGCATCACTTTTTCTTCAATATTGCGTTCATTGTTTAACTCTCTCATGTATACTAAGTGGACTATACCACAGCTTAGATCAAATGGGGACAAGGCCAGGAAGGGCAGCTGAACTGACTGGAGGAGATGGGTACTCATACTCCTTTGGCCACTAGCGGCCCCCATCCTGGAAGTAGCAGGAAAACCAGGCCATGGCTCCAGAATGCTGGAGGACCCTCTGCCGAGGACCGTTGGATCTATGGGGAGAGAGTTCGCTCCTGTAGTTTTGGCACTTGTCTGTTAGTTTGGTGCACTTTGGGGTGGCTTGCATGTTGCTGTTATGGTAAAAGCTATGCCACTGGTGTGTCAGATGCCACCAGGATCACCCATAATGGACAAATTTTCTAAGAAATAGGACTGACAACTGAAATAACCGGTAAAAAACTAAAAACAAGAAAATGGCCCACACTTATTGGGCACTGTGTGTGTCAGGCACAGTGCTACACTCTTTACATGTTCTGCTAATTGGTACAGTGTTGATGGTACATGCCCTCAAGTCAGAACCAACTTATAACTGTTCCTCCAGCAGCTTTTCAGAGACTATAAATAGCTTGGGAGGAGATTGTCCATCCTCCCATGGAACAGTTGGTGAATTCAAACTATATGCCTTTGGGTCAGCAATACAACCCCTTACCCATTAGGCCACCAAAGCTCCTAAATTGTCACAATAGCCCTAGAAATACTGTATTTTTTTTTTTGTTACAGATATAGGAATAAAGGGTTGGAGAAGGCTATGAAAGGGATATAGCTGTAATTTGAGCTCAAATACACAGCTTCACAATCTTGGTCCTTAGTCTATGCTGGGGAATTTGAATTGTGTCCTGTAGATAATAGGAGGCTATTGAAGCAATATTTCTCATGATGAAATGCCTCGTGATGCCCCATGGGTGCGAAAAAATAATTGCAAAGCCAGTAGTTTGAGAAACTGCATGCTGTTGCATGTGACCCTTTGAGTGGCAGGATCTAAACAAGAAGGGCTTTGAGAAGTTCTGTAAGTGGGGTAGGGGTATGGAAGTGGGTATTAACTGTGGTTAAACCTCCCTAAACTTGTATCATTAAAAAAAAAAACAACCCACAAAACATAAAACCATTGACCTCTTGTTAGGTTCCATCAAGCTAGCTTCAACTCCTAGTGACCCTGTCTGTACAACATGGTCTCTGCTATGCAGAAGCCCATTGTTACCATGTCAATTTGTATCCTTAAGCGTTTATTTCATTTTCCCTCTACTTTTCCAAGCACGATGTCCTCCAGTGTCTGACCCTTCCCGATAATATGCCCAACGTATGAGAAACAAGCTTTCATTATTTTTGCATCTAATGAGCACTGGTGGCCTATTTACAAGTGCGTGCACTGCAATCCTGAAGGCACATTGTTTGAGGCCAGCAGCTGCTCCACTGGAGAAGGATGGGCGGTCTCCTCCCATGTGATTAACTGCCTCTGAAAACCCACTGGAGGGTCAGCTACTCAATGGCACTCAACAATAATGAGCACCTTGACTGGACTTCTTCCTTCTTCCAGTACAGATTTGTTATTTTGACAGTCCACGACAGATTCAATAGTCTTCATCAACACCACAAGTCTTCATGGGTCTTCCTTATTCATGGTCCAACTTTCACATGTTTATGAAGCAATCAGAAAAATACCGTGTCTGTGGTGTTAATTAAGCACACCTTAGTCTTTAAAGTGATGTTCTTGCACTTGAACTCTTTAAAGCAATCCTTGAAAACATTTGCCTAAAGGAATTCACCATTTGAGTTCAACTAGTTAATTCTTTTTTTTTTATGATATAGAACAGAGAGTGTGAAAAACAGGGGGCCAAAAGTTCCCATGACTGAAGGCCCCAAGCCATGCTTCTCTGAGTATTTATTTAGGTAAACAAAGCAAAATTATAAGGAAGTACAAAACAAAAACAAAGGATAATGGTGAAGTCTTTTACAGATAAGGCCAAGTTCCTCTTTATGCTAATCTCAGGAGGGAGGGATTCAGTTGATACAAACTAAGAACAATGTTGACTCTTAGGGAACACCTCAGTGCCACAAGGTGACCTTCAGCTTGTATTAAGCCTCCCTCATTTCCTGATACAGTATTTGGTCTACTATTAGTAAAAGGTATTGTGATGGGAAAGTCTGCGGTTAGGGACCTCTCTAAAGTACTCAAGAGCAACGGTGTCTCTCTGGGGACTAAGGTGCACCTGATACAGACCATGGTCTTTGCAATCACTTGTTATACATCAAAGAGTTAGACAATGACTAGGGAGGACAGAAGGAGAGTTGAAGCCTTTGAGCTGTGGTGCTGGAGAAGAGTATTGAATGTACCATGGACTGCCAAGAAAACAAACAGATTCATCCTAGAGAGGATTAAACCAAGCAACTCCTTGGAGGCAAGGATTCTGGGGCTTCGTCTGGCATACTTTGGACATGTTGCAAGGAGGGACAGGTCCTTGGAGAGGGACATCATGCTTGGG